GTGTGTGTGTGTGTGTGTGTGTGTGTGTGTGTGTGTGTGTGTGTGTGTGGTGGGGAGGTGTGGCTTGGGGGATGGGGCCAGACACTTCCTTTCACTTCCGTCTGGGAAGCAGGCATCCCAGCTGGCTTTTTGCAGTGGAGGCCAAGCTTCTGTGCAGGTCAGTCTGCGGGTGGGCCTAGCTCCCTACCCTGGTACTGGGGTACTGTCCTGCCACTCTCTGAGCAAGGGTGCCCGGAAGAGAGGGGACTTTCACTTTCGACGGTTTTCCTGGCTCACTGGGCCTCTGGTTTCCCTTTCCACGACAGCTCTTAGTTTGTGCATCTGGGGACCGGGTGAGTCTCCACAGCTCCACACACTACGACTGCTCTGATGCTCGGAAGCACCCTATTGAGGAGCCCTTGCATTTCAAGCTGACGCCTAGCACTGTTACACTAGCCTGGCCTTGGGGGTGCAAGCAGATGCCTGCAGTAACCAGGCTTTTAGGTCCTAGTGCCTTTCACAGCCAGAGAGAGTCCCAAGGCCAACAACTTACCACTGGCTGCAGGCTGGCCCTGTCCAATGCCCATGAATGAGGACCACGCTGTGCCCCTGTGAGCTCACTCCATACAAGCAGAAAACTCCAGAACAAATGAAAGATCATAGCAAGAGAGGTTCCTGGCCTGTCGACCAGTTTCCAGACTTGAGCCAGTTAGGGCCCCAGGAGCCCTTGGAGGGAAAGCCGAGGGCCCCTGGAGTAAACAGGCCTGTTACAACACAGAGGAGTCTCCCCGCTAGCCTTTCTGCATCCATTCTCAGAGGGGCCAAAGCGCTATACCACTGAGAAAAGGAACCAACTGGACTACCCAAGGCCAAGCAGATAGTGGTTCTAAATTGACAATAATTCTGAGAAGGCCCCCACAAAACCAAAACCTCACCGTGGCTCTCCAGTTAAAGTAAAGTTGGGGCTTATGGATGTCAGGTGATCAACAGGTTGGTTTGGCTTTTTCGATTTATTATTATTTTTTTTTTAATGTGTATGAGTGTTTTGCCTGCAGTGTGCGTGTATGCACCACGTTCGTGCCTAGCGGTGGAAGAGGTGGTCAGATCCATCCTGTGGGTGCTGGGAATGGAAGCTGGGCCCTCTGCAAGAGAAACAGGGGCTCCGAAGCTCTCAGCCATGGCGCCAGCCTAAAAGAATTTGGGTGGAAGCTGGGCTCACAGTCGGTCCTGGAGACTCATCCTGTGATTCTCTTCTGAGTCCCGGAATGTGTAATCGGGACGGTGATCCCCAGAAGTTCCTCGAAGCGCCACACTGGCGTCCCGTTTTGAAACTGCCAGAATTCCCACATTGGTGTCCCATCCGCGTACACAAGGCAGCCAGCATCAGGCTGGGCTCCCTTAGAGAGCCTGCGAGGAACATGGGGAGGGAGGATGTGGTCTCAGGGCTCGGCCAGGGGGGCCGGAGGGAGTCTGGAATGCGCCGGCAGCACCCGCCTCCCGCCCCCCGGAGTGGACCAGAGCCTGGGCCACCCTCGGCCGCCCGGTGTCCCCGCGCAGCCCGCCCGTCGCCGCCCCCTACATTCCACAGGCCGCTGCGCAGTCTCCTTCCTCGCATTCCAGGCGGGGCAAAGGAGCGCCCCCCCTCCTCCCCCGTCCACCCCCCGCGCGCGGCCTCGGAGCGGAGGGGGCGCGGCCCCGAGCTGCGCGCGCATTCATTCCCCCGGCGCGCGCCTCCGTCCGTCCCTCCCTCCCCGCCACGGCCCCGCGCGAGCGCGCGGCCCACGCCGAGCCACCGCCACCCCGGCCCCGCCCCGCCCCGCGCCCAGGGGTCCCGGGGCGAGCTGCGGGCCGGCGGACG